GGCACGATCTGGCATCCCCACCCAGAGCGCTGGGCGCTACAGGCGTGGGTGATCAACAACTACCTGTTGCTTTGCCAGAGGGAGTGTTAAACACGATCATGCAGGCTAGAGCGGCTTCTACTAGAAGGCTCTATGCGTCTAAATGGTCTGTGTTCTCTAAATGGTGCACCGACAGAAACTTGGACCCACGGTCATGCGAGGTTCCTTCCTTGCTAGTTTTTCTCCAAGAGATGTTGGACAAGGGCAGGTCCCCGTCCACTCTCAAGGTGTATGTGGCAGCCGTCGCAGCGTTCGTTGAACCCCGGCGCGGCCAGTCACTGGGCAAAGATGGCTTGGTCATCCGCTTCCTCAGGGGAGCTAGAAGGATGAACCCCCCACGCTCCCCTTCGGTGCCGATTTGGGACCTTTCCATAGTTCTCGAAGCTATGAAAGCTCCCCCATTCGAACCACTAAACATCGTGGACCTCAAATACCTTTTCACTCAAAACAGTTTTTCTGCTCGCGCTCACGTCAGTAAAACGTGTGGGAGACCTTCACGCGCTGTCCATTAGCGCTTCCTGTCTCGAGTTTGGGCCCAATGACTCCTTAGTCGTTCTCAAACCTAGACATGGTTATGTCCCAAAAGCGATTGGTACCCCGTTCAGGGCACAAGTTATTTCCCTATCGGCTCTGCCTGCATCCGATAGCGATTCTGACTCTAATCTCCTGTGTCCGGTCAGGGCCCTGAGATTATACATTACTCACACTGCTCCGGTCAGACGATCCGAGCAGCTTCTTGTTTCGTTCGGTGGGCGCACCAAAGGGTCGGCCGCCTCGAAACAGACTCTATCCAAATGGATAGTTGATGCCATTGCAGCCGCATACGCATCAAAAGACCTGCCATGCCCTCTGGGCATCAGGGCTCATTCCACTAGAGGCATGGCCTCATCGTGGGCATGGTCCAGCGGAATTTCCATTCATGACATTTGTGTGGCAGCGGGATGGGCTTCCCCCTCCACCTTTGTCAGATTTTATAATCTGGAAGTTCCCGCCTTGCAGGCTAAACTACTAGCAGTCTAGTATGTTACAGCTCTTCTGGTTGAGCTGCACTATAGGGAGTTATTCACACAGACCGGTTTCGCTCTGTCCCTCTCTATCATGTGCTTATGTACTACACAATCTCCGGCCCGCTCTGCTGGCCTTTGTCACATGTACATATATTTATTCCCACTCATAAGGGTTCCCTGGGGTCTCCCCTGGGACTCATAGTGGATGCTTAGCACGCACGGCGTTGACCAGGTGTTCCCGTAGCGTAAGCTAGCTTACGCAATACGAGAGAACCTCTCGTAAGAGAACGAATCATGGTCTGCTGCAGCTGAACTGCGTTGACAATGGATACAAAATTATAGGATAATTTTTTGGCTTCAATTTCTCAGAAAAGATGAATCTTTCCCGTAGAGTAAGCTAGCTTACGCAATACTCGTTCCCTCATCTAGAGAGAACCGAGGTTACGTTAGGTAACCGATTCGTTTTATTTGGTGATCCTAGAAGCACATAAATAATGGGTCGTTTATGAATGTTTCAAATCACATTGTCTGTGTTCACGTAAAGGTTTGTTTTGAAATAAAGCCCCAGCAGTGATTATAATAGTTGATGCACATTTAAAACACGGTTTGGAAGAAGGATTGATGATGTATTGACTCATTGTTAAAATTTTGTTATTTTTTAACTAAAAGAGAGTACCTTTAAAGAAAAAAAAAAGAAGAAACACTTCACAGAATAGAGTGTAATAGCACACCATCCAGGTAACCGTAGTGTGTACAATGATTTTGAATGCACTCATTTTAATTTTGCACACTAATTAGTAGGGATGTAGGGAGAGAAAGACAATACGACAGAGAATGAGAGTGAATCTGTGAAAAGAGTTCATTAACGGCGGGTCATTAAGATGGTGATGCCTTGTTAAATACATTATCTTGACCTTGACAAACACACACACCATCTGAGGGCCTGCGGGCTCATTTATACTGAATATCCCAGTTACGCACACACACACGCACGCACGCACGCACGCACGCACACACACATACACACGCACACTTACAATAAAACTTAAATATAAAAACATATTAAATGATTACATGTAGCCTTGTCAAATGTTGCTTATGAGTTTATTACTCAGGAGAAACATCTAAGAAGCAGGAGACTTCAGCATCTTACACCTCAAACAAACCCTGTGTGTGTGTGTGTGTGTGTGTGTGTGTGTGTGTGTGTGTGTGTGTGTGTGTGTGTGTGTGTGTGTGTGTGTGATGTTTTCATTTGCCTGTGTGTGGCATCTGTCAATGTGTCTGACCGGATGAGACTGTTACCGTGGAAACAAATCTGTCTTTGATTTATCAATGCTATCAATGACAGGGGTGAGTTTACTGCTGTCCTGATCAAACACACACACACACACACACACACAAAGATGTGGTGTTTGGCACGTATGGATCTGTGTCAGCAGAAACACAAGACAGAGTGTCAGAGACACAGTTTCCAGGAGGTCAGTTCTTACTGTACGATATGTGTGTGATACACTAATGCCAAAGAGAGAGAGAGAGAGAGAGAGAGGGTCATGTGACCAGAAGATTCTGGATGTAATCTTGACAGCATACAGTAACTTTTCTGCATCTTTTAATTTTGAATCCATTATAATCCACAAGAGGGCGCCACCCCCGGTCTCTCATGATCTAACTAACTAACATTATCATTTTTACATTTGATCAAACTTTTCAGCGCAGAAATTCCGGAGAGTTTCCAATACAATGTACAGGTTTTTACATTTTATTTAAATATTAAAACCTCTGGAGACTTACGGGTCATGAATTCACATCTTTTAATATACAGCATAAGAGGCTACAAAAACATACTGTATTTTTATTAAAACCAAGATGCCAAAACAACTAATTTTATAATTGTTAATATTATTTATATATTATTTTAGTATTATAGTATTTATTAATATTTAGAAATTAGCTTTTATTTTATTTTTAATATATCAAAAAAGGTAACACTTTATTTTACAGTGTCCTTGTTACACGTTACATGTAGTTGCTATCGTAATAACAGTATATTATCCATAATTACATGCAACTAACCCTAAACCAAACCCTAACCCTATAGTAAGTACGTGTTGTTAATTAATATTACTCAGTACTTATTACACCTTAAAATAAAGTGTAACAAAAAAAAAAAACACATCACAAAATAATAAATAAATATGTTTTTTGTGTGTTAAAAAGTTTTCGGCCTTAAAAAATAAATTATTGGCCATTCAAATCAGATTAAGGGAAAAGTTTGTAGTATGCCATGTATTAATATTAATATGTTGCCACGTCATTCACTCTCTCATGATCACATGGTCACCGCTGCATCTGGGTCAGATTAATCCAGCGGTGCATAATCTCAATCCTAATCTCCAGTCTCTTACAGATCACACACACACACACACACACACACACACACACACACACACACACACACACACACACACACACACACACACACACACACACACACACACTTATATAAGAGAATTAAAGACTGAATAGTGAATGTAGACATATAAAAACCCAGCAGGACGGTTCAGAAATCTGCCCTGAGTCGCTCCGAGCTTTCAAGCAGGGGCATTTAACAGGGGTGACAGATGTGACGCGAGCGTGTGTGTCTTCATGCCACTGACGTCTCTGCCTGTAAGTCACTGAAAAACACAAGCTCAGACCTCAGAAAACATCCAGGTTGTTTAAGTTCAGAATGAAACACAACAGACTTTGTCATAACCTTAAAAAGAATATTTCAGTGTTTCCAAGCAATGTTTCACCTCAAAAATCAAAACGAAAAAAATTATAGAAATTATATTTTGCATTAGGACATTACACATTGTGAATTTTTCTTGTATGTAATCCTCATTATTCTTAATAGTGATTATCATTAGAGGCTCATTACTATAATATAATTTATTATATTTTTAATACAATAGTAAAATATTTATATAATAATATATTTTACGGTTTAACCATAAAAATCTGTTTTTTTATTTAAATGTATATTTTAAAAGGAAATGCTTTTCAGTAAACAATGAATACTTGAACTTTAGTGGGGGGAAATTGTTGTTTGGGGCTTAAAATTGTTTAAAAAAAAATCTAAAAATAACCTGTAAAATATAAATAACCTGCGCAATTAAGCATCTTCTGAAAGAGTACAGAATCTCTGGATCAAAAAACTTTTTTTTTTACAGTCTATAATCAAAACACAGGCAAAAAAGGAGCAGAAACAAGCGATAAAAGCATTGCTTATGCACGTTGTGGATATTTTTCCAGATTTTCTTAGCTTTTTGTTCAAAATGTTGCTTTTTTATAAAGTTGTTGATAAAAAATATCACTTTTTTTGGTTTGTTTAAAAGGAAAGGCTCTATTCTTTCTATTGATACATTGCATGTTCAGGTATTCATACAACAAACTTTTATGAAGGCCATGAAACTTATTGTGAAAATGATGAAAAATGCTGGCGGTGGCTTTAAAAAAAAAGAAAGAAACCCTGACAGGGAAAGAGTTATGAAAGAGACGGGGGGAAACTTATGGCAAAAATACTGACCATGGGAAAAGTTGGAGGAGTCGCTTCACATCCGTTGCACGAGTGTTTTAGCGTGTGTTTCACATGTGTGCTGACGAGACGGACAGCTGAATACACTCAACAGACACTCTGACATCATCACCACCTCATTCTCATCTCTCCTGACACACACGCGCACAAAAGAGCGCATGACTTCCTCTCAGACCAGAAACATCCTGACATGCCCACCTCCGGATCTGTCCTACAAGGACACACACACACATGGAGGGCATTCCCAGCAGGCCTGTCGGGATGACCTTGGTTGTCACAGTGTGTCACGAAACATGAACTCTCTCTCTCTCACACACACACACACACACACACACACACATGATGAATCTTCTGATGAAGTCTCAGCACTTGGCCATGGTCTTGGTGGGATTGAAATGAGAGCGTTTGTTCCTGCGGTGTTTGAATCTGATACTCTCTCTGTCTGTCTCTCCACCCTGATCAATCATCTCGTCTGCTCAAGAAAAACACAAAAGAGGAGAAATGTGTGTTAGAGGGATGAGAGCTGCCTGTCCGGAGAGGATGACAGGCCATGATTTCTCTGCCAAAACGGCAAAAGATCTGAATTTACCATCACGAAGTGTTATCACATGACAAAAAAAAAATATATATATATATAAATAAATAAAAAAATATATATATATAGCTACATATACTGAGGAGAATTTGACAAAAAAAAAAATGCTCTGCAACTTTTCGCAACCACAATCAATCAATTATATAAAATAAAATAAAATATATAAAATACATATGTATTTCTGTATATAAGACAAAAATAAATTTAACACGTTAATTAATTCCTTTAAAAAAAATATGAAATAAATATTCTTAACAAAATAATTGATTAAAATACATAAATAAATACAAATAATACATTTTAATGGAAGAAATATTTTATATAATTTATTTATTATTTTCACAATGTATTATTTATTATTATTTTTTTAAATACACTACCAAAAATTGGTATTTTGGTATTGATTTTTTTATGTCTTTGAAAAAAGTCTCTTCTGCTCACAAAGACTGCATTTATTTGATTATATATTACACACAACACACACACATATATATATACATATACATATATATATTACACACAAACATAAATATACTATATATATCCTTCGACACTTACAGCAGTTTCACCTTGAGCTGACATTCACCCCACCAGAAGTACATTACGTGCACTCACCTTCTCTAGCCAGAGGTGTGTGTGTGTTTTAGGAAGTTCACCAGATCAAACTGATCTGAAATATATGAAAAAAAAAAAAATCAGCTTTAAGACTGTTCACCAATAGACAGAAACTAATAATCACACAACACATGAGAAACAGAGAGAATATTAATAATGCACCAGCTGAACATATTTTTTCATGCATTCCCAGCAAACAAAATGATGTTCTAAGAACGTTTTGCTAACATTCCCATTCATTTATAAAAACATTGTTTTTGAATGCTCACTGAACCTTTAAAATATCCAATGTTTTTTTCTTGGTTATGCAAATTTTAATGGAACATTCCTTTTTATCATTTGGTTACTTTTGAATGTTCTCTGAACATTTTAAAACAAGTAATAGGCTAACATTTAAAAACTGTGACCTTCCAACTAAAACGTTTGAGGTAAAAATGTTTCATGATTGATATGTCTGTACTAACTTTTTAAGAACATTAGACCAGACAACTTTGAACGAATGTTTTATTAGCGTTAGAAGAACGTTTGTTCATAACTTTGAGAGAACCTTGCCAGAACATTAGCTAACGTTCTGAGAAAGTTAGCTGGGTTTACAGTTCCGATATCCCATAATAATAATGCACCTTATCCCCATGGTAACCCATACGGTCTATTGCAGTCTGGTAAGTTTAAAATGAATTTTAAGTGAGAGACAGACACACACACACACACACACACACACACACACACACCTTCAGGGGATCTGAATACTGTACATACACGTGTATCCCACTGCAATTAAAATATCACTGAGACTAAACACTATTATGTGTGTGTATGAGATGAAAATCAGAAAATGTCTGTAGCAAACCATCACCTCCCACATTGCATCCACTGGCAACTGCTACTGTATGTGTGTGTGTGTGTGTGTGTGTAGCTTGTTTTGTTGTGGAAAGTCTGTTTAAACCAAGGGAATGTTTGATCCAGGCCAATTTAGAGGCCTTTACGAAAGTTGTGTGTGTGTGTGTGTGTGTCGGCCAACAGATGTAAAATATTCCTCCTCCTGCGCTAATTATGAGCCCTGAACTGCAAGCGGAGACAGACCGTGTGTGTGTGTGTGTGTGTGTGTGTGTGTGTGTGTAATGATTCGCTTCTCTCCGCAGGCAGGGACGCCCTCTATATTACACAATCCTCCACACACACACACACACACAATATTCCAGAATTTATTTAATTAACAGCAGCTCGGGCCCAAAACTAATGAGCTCTCTCTCTCTCTCTCTGTGTGTGTGTGTGTGTGTGTGTCGAAGTGAAGGAATCTACCAGAGGAAACCCATGCACGCTCTGAAATCGAAACGCCACAGTGAGTGATACCATTAAACTCCAGAAAGAGTGACGGAAGAAAAAGATGAAATGATAAAGAGGATAAAAAGAAAAGGCAGCGTGTGTGAGAGTGTTTGCGGGAGAAAGAGAGATTATTTAAGGACAGGTTCTCTGGCGCAGTCATTCAGGGATGAGGCAACTATTTGAAACTGCTCCCATTTTAAATGAGCGAGAGACAGGGATGGTTAGGGATCTGATTTCTGAAGCCAAAAACACACTAGAGCAGACAGACCTGAAGCATAATGCAGAAATATACACACGTAAGCATGTGAACGCAAGTGTTTCCAGTCACGCTAGTTCATTTTTATGTCTCGTTGTGTTTGAAATTCATTCGCAAGAACGTGTTGATCAAGTTAAGATGGGAAGAAGTCTCTTCTGCTCACCAACACTGCATTTATTTGATCAAAAATACAGTAAAAACTGTAATATTGTGAAATATTATTACAATTTAAAATAACTGTTTTCTATGTGAATATTTATTAAAATGTAATTTATTCCTGTGATCAAAGCTGGCATTTTGAGTCACATGATCCTTCAGAAATCCTTTTAATATGCTGATTTGCTGCTCAAGAAACATTGATGAATATAAAGTTCAAAAGAACAGCATATATTTGAAATAGAAATCTCTTGTAACATTATAAATGTCTTTACTGTCACTTTTGATCAATTTAATGCATCCTTGCTGAATAAAAGTATTAACTGCTTTAAAAACAACAACAACACAAATCCATAGAGGAAAGCATATTGCATAATTATTGCATTTGATTCATAGTATTTTTGCTTGGTTTTAAACTGACTCCCTCAAAACTGATCTTTCTTATGCATTGCTATCCATCAAACGCTCCACTTGTGTAGAAAGCATCTTTTTTCCACATATTTGCATGTGCACACACACACACTACAGGCCTAAAAGAACACACCACGTGCATTCATTGATAAACAGAAGACAAGAATGGGGTTTTGTGTGCATGTTTTATGTAAGTGTACACATATGTAAAATGCTGAGCATGTACAGTGCATCACAATGACACTGACAACATAATCACCATCTCAATCAATCTCTCTCTCTGTCTCACACACACACACACACACACACACACACACACACACACACACACACACACACACACACACACGCACACACTGAACTGGGCTGTTGAGTGCATAACACTCTTGTTTGTTCTGGTTCATGTCACATCAGTTCTTTCTGCTCCCAACAGACTAAAACACACACACACACACACCGAGGGCTGTGTACTGCAGGAATAATCCATCATTCTCAATCTCAGGTGAGCGCAGGTTCAGCACTCTTTCTCTTACATACTTTATTCATACAAGCTCCTGGACTGCATTAGCAGATCCGACTGAATCTTCTTCTGTCTAAAAAAGAGAACGCACAAATAAGATCTTTATTGTCTCAGTTCTGTCCGCTACACTCTATAGAACCTTAAAAGAACCGTATAGAACCTGCAAGGGTTCTTTCAGGTGCTTCATTTATAGAAGCGTTTGGTGGTTCCCATCATGGGATCATTTTATAGATTTATTTGACATTTTATAATTAAATTGTAATAAAGTAAACAGCTCATAAATATATATTATCACTAGAAAAAAATGAAATGGTGTTAAAATGTCAGTACTATGCAATCATTTCAGACATTTCTCCTTATATAGAAACTTTTTGGCATAAAGTGTTCTTTAAAATTGAGTCAAGAACACAAATGAAGCTTTTTAAAAACTGCAATTGATTTATATATATATGTGTGTGTGTGTGTGTGTGTGTGTGTGTGTGTGTGTGTGTGTGTGTGTGTGTGTGTGTGTGTGTGTGTGTGTGTGTGTGATATAATTTCTTCATATTTACTGTCATTTTTCATAATTGTTTTGCTACTTTTGTTCATTAACTCAATTTTTTATTGTTAATACTTTACAATAAAGTTAATACTAAAATTGTTTAATTAGTGCTTAATTGGGTTACACTTGTTTTTATGGTGTCCATGGTGTAATTATACATTTAAGTACTGAGAAATAATAATTGCTATGAAGTTAGGGTTAGGATAAGGATTTCGTTTAGGGTTAGTTGCATGTAATTATGCATAATTTATAGTTATTGCTACAGCAGTAACGTGTGATAAGGAAACTGTAAAACAAAGTGTTACCCTTAATTGTCTTGGAAGAACACATGGTGTTCTTTCTCCATGCAAAATATCATTTTGTATTTCTATACTCTATCCATCCAAAGCAACTTTAAAACACAGCTGATATTTAAATGCAGCACATCTGAGTCTCTTGAGCTTTAAAGAGCAACCTCTGAGCAATAACATTTCCCACCGGGTGATCTAGCTAATGTGTTCTCATAAAGCCAAATAAAACTGATCCAGAACTGCTCAATCAAAGCAAACCCATCCGACATTAGAGAGACAGCTTCACAACACTCAACTCAACTGATCTGTGACGGTTCCACAACCACAGAGAACCTCTCAATGCCAATCTTAGATCTGAGTGACTAATATACATCCAGACTTCCTGGTGCTTTCGGGGCACCACTACGGAAATGTGCTAACAAAAAGTTCTTTGTGGCGCTTAAAAAATGATTCTCGAACTGTAAAACTCTTTCGTGTTCTAATTGGAACCTTCGTTTTTAGAATCTTTAGAATGGCTTCGCTTCAGAGTTCTCCTTGGTGTTCTGACTTTGACGTCTTTTGAAAATGTATTTGAGCTGGAAATCAATGTGTGTGTTTGTACCTGCGAGCATGTTGTGTGGGTTGGGTTTCTCGCTGTAGAAGAGAGCAGCAAACATCTGTCCGACTGATTGAAAGAGCCCTGTGGACCGCTTTCACCACTAATGAGCGTTTACTGCCTGGAAAACAAACCCAGATACACTACACACACACACACACATATAC